GACACAGACAAAAAAAATTAACAAAATATCTTATATTAGCTATAGAAACTTCAGTCAACTGGAATTTTATAACAAAATTTCTCATAGAAAATTTCGTTGAATGCAAATTCGGTTAAATGGTAATTTAATTAATACCAGATTCAATACTGGCTGGGTGTTAAACTGGCAGCCAGTAGGGATTAAATACTGTCTGTATATTTACTCAGTACTGGTTCTATCAAATTTGGATTTAACAATAACAATGGTTAAATAATAGTTAGGTCAAATAAAAATTTGGTTAATTGCAAAATCTAAATAGTAATTTAATAATTATCGTTTGTTTCAGTTAATGTATATATGTATGTCATTTGTTTGAACCTTTGAACTTTTTTGTCGTGAGGACTCTATTGACATGTTAATTATGTTTAACTGAAGTCAACAAATCAGTATAGGAAAAATATTATTGTACCAATAAAATCCGTATGACTTATTTATTTAAAAACTAAACGGGTCACAAATATACACTGTATATGTTCGCCATTCAGTTAAGTTATTCGCGGTCGATGACTTGTACATGAATGAAAAATAGGGCTTGAACGGTATACTGAGAAATTTACTGCCTCACACAAAGTTTCCTTGTAAGTTGTAAAGCTCCTGTGTTATGTTACAGTTTAACGTATATATATATATATATATGAAAATGCCCTGCTGTATATATAATACGTTCGCGACGTAGGCAATTTAAAGTAGAAAAAGACTAATAAAAAAGCTCATAAAAATTCTGATTGCCTTACACTTTAAAACGGAAATAATAATATAAAAAGAAAGAAGAGGAGTGTGTTATTTTTGCCTACATACATCCGAATGTAGATTAGAAATTTTATTTTTAAATAACAATTCTTTAAAAAAAGAAAGAAAGAAATTGTATCACTCGTGCAAAATTTTTTTTTAGATTATAAATGGACATTCTTGCTTTGAAGCACACTGTGATTAGTGTTACAATAGTAAGAATCATATTACACGTGCAATGAGCTTTTTCTTATCCTCCCCGAGACACTTATCGTTCGTTCACCGCATTGCGTTGGCCTTCGTAAGCGATGATAACTTAAATGCATCCACAACCTTTCGTCAAATCCTTTTTTCTTTTTTTTTTTTTTTTTTTTGAATTTACAAATTCACATTGCAAAAGTATTCACATTTACGCAATGTTATATCCCACTTGGAAAGATTCCCCGGAAAGTGCCCCCTGGAGGTTCTATCAGAATTCCGCCGGAACTTCCAACGTAATTCCGTCGGAATTCCATCGGAGTTCCAAAGAATTTCCGATGGGATTACAACGGAATTCCGATTAATTTTTTTCAAAATTTTTAGAGTCCTAATTCCGTCGGAACTCCGTCGGAATCCCATCGCGGAAATTCTTTGGAACTCCGATGGAATTCCGACGGAATTGCGTTGGAAGTTCCGGCGGAATTCTGATAGAACCTCCAGGGGACACTTTCCGGGGAATCTTTCCAAGTGAGATGAATATGTACAATTTTCGTGCAAAGTTTCTTGATTTACGAATAAAAACAAAAAAAAATTCCCCTTTTACTAAATTAGACTTGATGCAATACTGGCTGAGTCCTGGCGCAAAAGAGGCAACCACTTTGGATTAAATACTGTCTCTATATTGGTTTATTATTTTTTTAATTCTGGAAAAATTTTAACACATATTGACTGATCAACAATTACTGTTGAACAATATAGTTTCAATGCTGGCTGTTTACTAGCGTATAACTGGCAATCAGTAGGGATTAAATACTGTCTGCATTGGCTCACTACAAGTTCAGTTCAGATAAAGTACTGACAACTATTGGTTGAAGAATCAAGCAAAGTACTCGTATGGATTCAATCCTGGCTATGTATTGGCTCAGAGTTGGCGAAGTACAGTCTTGATTCAGTATGGGCCAGGTACTGGTTTACTACAAATACTGGCTATATACTGGCTCAATATCGGCAAAGTTCAGTATTTATTCTACATTGTCTGAATAATGGATAAATATTCAATACCGGTCCAGTACTGGCTGCCAATTAGTACTGTTGAGCAGTAGTAGTTTAATACTGGCTCTGTACTGGCAACCTGTATTATTTTGTCAGTATTCGCATATATATTTAGTAACGGAGAACAGTACTAATTTGATAGTATTTGTAGCAATTTTTTTTTTTTTTTTTTTTTTGCGAAAAAAGCAAGGGACCGGAAAAAAAGTAACACACACATATAACGTCAAAGAACGTTTTAGATTCTCCCTTCAACATATTGCCAAATCCCATTTGCAGTAAAGGAATCAGCCAGTTGATTTATTTCGGGGAATTTGATTTAGAGGAAAATAAATTTCCTATAGTAGAAAATTCAATATATCAAATGATATTACGATCTTTAGGGTTGTGAAATTGAAAAAAAAGATTATATTTAGGAAAAAAAAATTTTTGGAAGAAGGAAATAAGTCTTTTGGGAAATTATCACAAATTAAATATTATATTATTAAAGTTAGTAATATAATTACTTTATCTGATATAAAAGAAGATTAAACAGGAAAAACCTTGATTGATTACACTTTAAATTTTCCGAAAAAAAAAATGAAAGTTGACGTAATTTTAACAGATTTTTTTTTCATTTTTTCTCACCCCCCCACCGAGTAATTCGTAATACCCCTCAAGCTTAACGTTTTCAAGCACACACCACTTTTCTTTCAATGCTCTCTAATGAGTTCTTGATGACGCTTCAGCTACTTTTTTTCTATCAAAAAGATCTTTGAGTATATTATATAGAATTCGTAAAAAGTTTTCCATTTACACTATATTATATTTTTTTAAATCTTTTTTTTTTTTTTGCATAAATTTCATTTCATTTTTTCATTTCATTTATTAAGTTGACGTTTGTTTTTGATTTATTTTATATACTCAAGTTTTGCGATAATTAGAAATAGAAAAGTTTCAATATGACAATCATTTTTTTTTTTTGTCTACTCATTAACTTTTTATCTAAATAAACTTCTATCTAGAAATAAATTAAAAATCATGTTACACAGAAAGTTTATAATGTTATATCAAAGATGCATTTAAGATAATAAGATGCAAAAACCAGAAAATGCATTAGCTATAGCATAATTAAGTATGTGTACATTTGCTTATAAAATTATAATTCCAGTAGATTGATATTAAGTATATAAATATATTATTTTATTCGTGTAAAATTCCTTTCACATGATATAGGAATTTTTTTGTTTTTTTTTATACTTTTTATATTAGAACATATATCCTGTACTGATAGCTTGTTTTAGGTATGTGAATTTAAAAAAAATAATAATAACAACTTTCTGGATTATAAGAAAAATTTGCGTTAAAACGATATAGCAAATGACGTGAAAAACGATAAAATTTCTGCATTGATTAATTTTCAAGTGGAATCAACACTTGCGCCTGTCAGCGCTCTCCGAACTCGCTCACGCAGTATCGTCTATCTTTATCTTTTTCTTTATCCCACCACTGCGAAACTCTTGCAGAGTTGACTCTTTTCTTTTTTAATTTCTTTTAGTTCGTCTTGTTTCACGGAGGTAGACGACATCGCGAAAGAGTGCAAGAGAGAGAGAGAGAGAGAGTTGTAGAAATAAAAAAAAATCAGAAATAAAATCTGCGACCAAGACGACCCACGTCAGTGGTTGCACGCCCACGCTCACTGTCTTAATTAGACGTCGAGGGTCTAACCACCGGTTTACTGTTTATGCCTTAAACTTTAAGGATTATGTGCTTAGTAAGGTAAATGAGACTTAATTCCCTTGCGCTTTCCATCTTCTCTCTTAATTCCCTTGTCTCACTCTCTCTCTCTCTCTCCCTCTCTCAGTTATTCCCTTTTTCCTTGAGTTGCATAAGAAGCAAAACAGTCGAGTTATTTTCCAACGACTTTGGATAATATCAATAAATATTAACAATATATTTAAATACATAGATGGTTAAAAAATTAACAAGATGGTAAAAAACTTTGAAAAATAAAAATATAAAAAATTACCGACCTAGAAATTTACCTTACCGACTGATGGTAAAGAAGTTTTTTTTTAAAAAATGGAAATATAAAAAATTACCGACACAGAAATCTATCTTACCGACTGCTGGTAAAGAAAAATTTTGAAAATATAAAAATTACCAACACAGAAATCTACATTATAGTAATTTTCTTCGAAATAAAAATATAAAAATTACCGACGCAGAAATCTACCTTACCGAATAATTGTAATTACCGACTGTTGGCAAACAGTTTTCAAAAAGTTGATAAAATTTCAACAAAAACGCTCTTTATTATCAATTATTAAGGTAAATTTCTAAGTCGGTAGGTTTTTATATTTTCATTTTTTAAATTTCCGTTACCGTCAGTCGGTAAGGTAGATTTATATGTCGGTAATTTTTTATACTGTAATTTTTTCCAAAATCCTGTTTTTCCATCAGTCGGCAAGGTAGATTTCTATGTCGGCAATTTTTTTTGTATTTTTATTTTTTTCAAAAAAAAAAACTGTTTTACCATCAGTCGGTGAGGTAGATTTCTGTGTTGGTAATTTTTTAATATAACTTTCTACTTTATATAATGTTATCGTTTTCGATTTTTTTAAAATAAAATTTACAATTTGTGTAGACAAAATTCGATCGCACGTTTTTATTGATAAATGAAACAGTCAAGATTTTACTAAATTATTATAAAATGTGTGAAAATAATGAAGTTTAAAAAGAAATCCTTTTTTTCTTACGGCATATTCTCACGTCCCATTTTATCAGCAATGAATAAATGTGTAAACTTGCCACGTGTCCTGTAGATAAGAAGAAGATTGTATTTCTTTAAACCTTCCTTTAAAATCTAAAATTATTGTGATACAATGCACAAACAAGATAATTTTTAACATTTATTTTTTTAAAACGCAGTTTTTTTTAATATTAATAAACACGTAATTATGGAATTAATTAATTAATTTGAAAAAAAAAATTTTTGTTTTCAGGTGCGTAAGGCATGTGGTCGACCGGAATTTCAACCGATGAAAGATTTCCCATCAAGTTCCACTACGTCGATAATAAAAACAGGAAGATCGTCATCATCAATGTTGGAGCAGCATGTAAATATTGCAACGAATCATCCACAATCATTTTCTTCATCTCATCGAACATCATGGTCCACACAATTACACGCACAGCTTGGTAATTTTTTGGCGAGTGTCGTTAGATCACGCTCTTTTTACGGGACGCTGGCTGATAACATTTGCGAGGAATATCCTGATGAAAAATGTTGGAATGGAGAACGTGTTGGAGAGTAAGTGTTATTTTACAAATATTATTATTATTCACATTTTTTTTTTGCCCTTTTTTATGTGAATTCACTCCAGAAAGTGGAAAATTGAGAAAAAGAAAGAATGAATCAGACATCTTCTTGGAATATATTCGAAATGTTTATATACGTTATTGCCTGTAATGTCGATATGGCACGACGTTATATTAAACATTTCTTTTCGATATATATATATATATATATATATATATTCTCCTTCAATGCGTTCTTTCTATTCGCGCGTACGTGTCAGGAATTATAACGAGCGAAACGTGTCCAATACGGATAATTCATTGTTGATCGAGTGATCGTTAAAGATTTTATGCACTCCCTTTTTTTCCAAATTGTTTTCTTTATTTATTTTAAAATTACTTTCATCCGTGACAAATGTTTCCGATTGATGTTTAATCATTTCTTTTAGGAGGGGTCGCATAATTATCCTATAAAAATTATTAGTTAAAAATTTTCATTTTAAAGAATTTTCCCACTTGGAAAGATTCCGTCGGAAAGTGCCCCCTGGAGGTTCTATCAGAATTCCGCCGGAAGTTCCAACGTAATTCCGTCGGAATTCCATCGGAGTTCCAAAGAATTTCCTATGGGATTCCGACAGAATTAGGACTCTAAAAATTTTGAAGAAAATAATCTGAATTCCGTCGGAAAGTGCCCCCTGGAGGTTTTATCAGAATTCCGCCGGAAGTTCCAACGTAATTCCGTCGGAATTCCATCGGAGTTCCAAAGAATTTCCTATAGGATTCCAACGGAATTAGGACTCTAAAAATTTTGAAAAAAATAATCTGAATTCCGCCGGAAGTTCCAACGTAATTCCGTCGGAATTTCATTGGAGTTCCAAAGAATTTTCGACGGGATTCCGACGGAATTCCGATTAATTTTTTTCAAAATTTTTAGAGTCCTAATTCCGTTGGAATCCTATAGGAAATTCTTTGGAACTCCGATGGAATTCCGACGGAATTACGTTGGAACTTCCGGCGGAATTCTGATAGAACCTCCAGGGGGCACTTTCCGACGGAATTCAGATTATTTTCTTCAAAATTTTTAGAGTCCTAATTCTGTCGGAATCCCATAGGAAATTCTTTGGAACTCCGATGGAATTCCGACGGAATTACGTTGGAACTTCCGGCGGAATTCTAATAGAACCTCCAGGGGGTACTTTCCGGGGAATCTTTTCAAGTGGGTTTATTAGATATAGAATTATTTTTTAGATGAATTTTTATTTTACAGAATTCTTAAAACATCGAATTTTTATTTGTCCGCAAAATTGCAAATGGACGAAGAAACAATCGAGAGAAAAAGTTCGGCTTTAAAATTCACCAAACAAATGATATTGTCAAGAAAATCATGATTGATGGATTTTAAAAATAGCGCCGAAATCTTTCTGTCGATTTTTTGTTCGGTCATTTGCAATTTCGGACAAATAAAAATTCAACGTTTTAAGAATTCTATTAAATAAAAATTCAGTGTCTAAAAATTCTTCAAAAAAAAAATCACTGCTATTTTTTCTCCTGTTTGTGAAAAGATTTAGATAAAAATAATATAAATTCGGAAAAAAAAAAATTCCGAATTTATATATACTTTAAAACGAAAATAATTCCAGTAATGGAAATTATCAATTATATATTGATAAGATAATTGTCTTATCGTACTGTAATATATCTAAGTTACGAGAATAGTTCGAATCAATTGAAAATTGATGTCTAAACTGACAAGTAGTTGAAGAGTAGAAAAAAAAAAAGAATTGGCAATAATAGGAAACACTTTCTCTAGAAGAAAAAAAGTGACGATATGATATGAGAAAAGAGGAGAGAGATGTATGAAGAAGAAGAAGAATAAACGGATAGTGGCAAATATAAGAGATGGAAGTAGGTGGAGGAGAAATTTAATCGGAAGAACGGATTGGCACAGTCCATAGCCGCCAAAGAGTCTGGCAAACGTAAAATCTACGGGTGCGGCCTCGGGGGCGCCGCGGTGTCGCAGACGAGACTCGACTATATAGATACATGACGTTGGATGCTGCGTAGTGCAAACGCAGCCAAATCTCTTTATATTATATTCGCGACGAGGTCACGATGACAATTTTTGTTGTTATTCACCTCATCCACTATCTCTCTCTCTCACTCACTTTCTATTATTAGAACACAATTTTATTTCTTCTTTTTAGTTTATAAACATTATTTGAGGACGTATGAATATTACTTCATTTATATATATATATATATATATATATGTGCTAGTTGCGAATAGTCACTATCTAATCTTCTTTAATTTATTGTCTATTTTTTTATTCCACGCTCAACGCTGTCTGGCAGAAGCGCGCACAAGTAAAAGCTTGTTCCAGATGATATATATATATATTATACAAAATCGAAACATACAATTTCTCTCTAAATCTGTATTAGTAAAAATTTTAATTAATTTAAGTGACTCAGTTTTTGCTTTTGAATTAGTAAAATTTAACAAAATAATAGTAAAAAAAATCAAGGTAAAACTAAACATAACCTAAAATTTGTTGGAATCTAAGGTCCCTTAGAGAATATTTCAATGAATATATTATTTATGATATTTATATATTTAATCGGAAATATTTTGTGAAACTTTTAATTCACTTGTAATTAACAAGCATTATATATTGTTAATTACTGGGAAAAATTTTTTGTTTAATAACTTCCTGTGAATCTATAATATTTACGAGAACGCACAACTGTCAGTAATAAAGTAATATGAAACGAATGTAAATGCGCTGACACCAATAAATTCTGATCGTATATATGCATGTATATATCCAATATATCGCCTATAGATCGATTCAAGTGATAAATTGCTATATTCGCTTTGGCGCCGCTAATAATTACAAATAATCGATTGCATCTTGTTTGTAAAGTTACATGAACGCACTGCTTCCTCCGATGATTGATCAAAGACACACACATATATATATATATATATACATATATTGTGCCTAAACATTCAGACATAAAATTTTATTCTTTAATTTATTTTGTAGTTATTGTTATTTTTGTTCCATTGTAGTTGGTTGTATTCTATCAAAAAGTATTTTTTTTTTTTTTTGACTTGGATGCTGTATAGATAATATCAAAAATTGCTCCATAAATTTTTTGTATCTTTCTGGGGATAACTCTTCTATTTCTATCCTACTCCTATCTCGATTATTGAAAATTTCGCAAATTTTTAGTCCTTTTAGATATGATATTTTTTCTGAAATGATATTATTTTGTTTCTTTTTCTCTCTGCACATTTCGTTAATGTTATATAGATTTTCTTGAATTGTTGCGTCATTCTTTGTATTTTTACGATGAGATCTCTTCAGAAAGAACCGAGTATACCAGAACATTGGAAAATTAGGACAGTTGAAATGGAAGAGAATGAGGAATCGTGAGTCTGCAAAAAGAAAACTCATATATATATATATATATATATATATATATATATATATTATATATATATTCATTCATGTATCAGAACGTGATGTGAAATCTCGATGAAAAATGAGTGAAACAAAAAAAAAAAAAAAACAGGAATCTAAAAAGAAAAACACAAAATATTCAGAAATCAATGAAAAAATTATTCTTCATAATTATATCTGAATAATAATTCCTTTTTTAAAACGATGAGAGGAATATTACAACCTTGAATATATTATGCTAATGGAAATTTAGTGTCAAATCAGTATTCTTAAAATGAGAGGAAATTATAGTAAAAGTTGAAAAAGAAGTAAAATTCTAATAAATTCAACCCACTTTTTTAAAAGTAGATAAATGATCGAAGATATAAATTATTTGGTATATTGACCATATATGATGATAAAATACGATATAATGCTAACCTAAATATTACGCTTCACATCGCTATATAAGTCTTATAAAATCCTCTAAAATACGCGAGATTAAAGGGCCGTAGTTATATAGAAAACTGCAGAGATAATTGCTCTTTCAATCGCAATATTAGCCCGGAAATGATCAACTTTCATGATTTCCGTTACGACTGACATTTGAAATTCCAGAGAAATTGCAGTTCTCTGGTTATTAATAAAAAAAAGAGAACAAGAAGAAAGAAAGGTTAAACGTTGGCTATTTACAATTTTAAATATCCTAACTCGACGTTTATATATATATATATATATATATGTTTCAGTCTAATTATATAAATACTGTGTTATTATTTCGAGGTATAAAGGGCCGGATATTAATTAGTTAATTATTTTTAAAAAAGAAATCAATATCATTTATGGCCCACACATAGCAAATAACAAAAATTATATTCTCAATGAATATATATATATATATATATATATATATATATATATATATATATATATATATATATATATATCTGTTTTTATTTTAAATGAAACAAAATAAATTAAGGAAACAGATTTCTTTAAATCAACAAAAACTTTTATTCAAATAATAAAAATAAATTTTTTTTTCATTTCAGCACACGATAGGGTGGAAATTTTTTTTTTTTTTTAAAAGACTTTTTTAAAAAAAAAAGATTTCTATGTCGATAATTTTTATATTTTCATTTTTCCTGTTTTATCACCAGTCGGTAATATAAATTTCGATGTCGGTAATTTTTTGTATGTTCATTTTTCCTATTTTACCATCAGTCATTAATGTAGATTTTTATGTCAGTAATTTTTTATATTTTCATTTTTCAAAAATGTTTACCCTAATGTGAAATAATACTAATGATTACGAAGCAAAATAAATTAAGGAAACAGATTTCTTTAAATCAACAAAAACTTTTATTCAAATAATAAAAATAATTTTTTTTTTCATTTTAGCACACCATAGGGTGGAAAATTTTTTTTTTTTTTTAAAAAAAGACGTGCTCTCTAAATTTGAATTAGTAAAAAATGTTTACTAATTTGAATTAGTTACTCACTTTTTGCTTCTGAATTAGTTAAATTTTACTAATTGTTAGTCAAATTTACTAATAATTAATAAAAT